GTACAAAATGCATTCCAAAATTTTTTGTAAATTTCATATTAAAATATTTAAAATTTCCAGCTTCAGCCATTTCTAGCCTCAGCCACGACATTAACTAATCAAATTGTAAATTTTTATAAAATGAAAAGAATGAAATTTAATTAAAATTTATACTATTAAGTAAGCAGCATGTATTTATTAATTTAAATCAAGATTATTAATTTTTCCATATGTAGTATTTAGTTTACAAAACTTTAATAATAATAAATAATAATCTACGTATATATGTTAAACATCACTTTCAAATTTTATTCAATTAAAAATTGAAGTATGTAGCTTCAAAATCGTAAATTAATATACTTTATATTTTAATTGGTATTGGTATGATTTTGTTGAGTAAAAAAAAATTGCATTAAAAAAAAAATTTCACAAAAAAAAAAATCGTAACTAAAAAAATATATTCATGATAAAAAAAATTATTTGCAACACAAATCAAATAATTTTATTAATTATTGTATTTAATCTTCATTACAATTAAAGATTAAACAACTTTAAGCAATACAGAAAGCTTTAATTTAAAAAATGCTTAATGCATAAAAAAATAAAACTATTTAGCAATAAAAAATCAATGATTTTTGCATACATCTTGGCGAACACAACCACAATAAAAAGTATAAAGAATATTGTTCTTGCGACAAGAACAACTCCTACTCTCACAATTCTTCTTATTGCAATAACAACCATCATTTTTTTTTGAACTTTGTTTAGTTTCTTGGTTGAATATTTTATTTGTAATATTTTGAAGTGATCTTAGTGGTCAGGTTAAGTTTTGCTGAACATCAGCATTTTGTAAAGAAATTAATTTATCTATCAGAATTATATCAAGTTCTAGAAATTTGTCAGTACCTAAGGGTTCTAATTCATTTGCTGAAAACCATATATCCAAAATTCCAAACTTGTATCCAACTTGATATGAGTCACAATTGGGTTTTTTTTGAATAACCTTACATAGCAAAGCTCATCGATCTATTTTTAGCCTATCAATATCAGGAAGCCGAATCTTTATAAAATCACCAGCCTTCAAATTTAATATACGCTTTTTTGTTTTATATTGTTTTTCCATAAGATAGTAAATCATTTGACAGTTTTGAGTAACATGTTGATTTGCTGCTTCTCTTAATTATACATGTTGACTAAAACTTGTACAAGAAAAATTTTTAGATAAAAAATCTGATAGTGTAGGAGGTAGATTTTCAGCTAATAAATTATTGTCATCACTTGGTAGTGTAGAATCATCATCGTCTAAATCTATAACATCATGAGATAACGAAAACTAACAAAATTATAAGATATATATTAATAAATCGAAACTAAATTGTTAAATATGCCAATATAACAAATTTTAATTAAATACATTTGAATTTAAGTTCTCAATTATATTCTATTCTCATTTAACTTGTTTACCCTTTTCTTGTCATTTAGATTCATAATCAGAACCATTTTTCTCATTATTGCTAATCACAATTACTTTATCATTGCTGCTATAGTTTAAAAATGTCGAAGCTAAAATTTTATAAAGTAGTTATTATTGTAAAATAAAATAAAATAAATAAATAAATAAATAAATAAATAAATAAATAAATAAATAAATAAATAAATAAATAAATAAATAAATAAA